ATATGAGGTAAAATTTTATTTTCAAAGTCCAAAGTGTCACCGTTTAAACGTACCGGGATTATACCCAACGGGTATAATCCCGGAATCCTCATACCGGGAACTCGCCCTCCGTGCTCCGACGGTCTTCATCACTACATGAAGCCCAACGGTCTCTTTTCCCATGAATGGCCCAAATGTGGATGCCAATGCCAGAGATTCGCCAAGTATGCCGTATTAGGGCCATAACTGGCCCTTATCGATTTGGCTACCTGGGTAAGGTCTTCTTGGACGGAATCCAAGCATTAGTTTCGCGTTTGAAGAATTGTATCGCTCGAGAAGGAGATCATGTTGAAAGGTGAAGGACTTTTGAAACCAAGGTTTCAATCAAACAATTTTACTTCACTTTTCCTGCTTTCATTTGAAACGTCCTCGTATATATATATTATTAATTCACTTGTGTATTTCAAATCACTTTTTGCCGATTGATGGGAATTTCTGATTCTAATTTGTAAGAGTGCTCATGCATGGTTTGAAGGTATTTCCCAGGTAGCACGCAACGTTGGCCCAACGTGGGGTATAGGTGGGAAAGGTTGGCTGAACATGAATGCTGGGGAACCTTTTAACTCAATGAGAGCCCAACGTGGGCATATCTCCACGTTGAGAACTGCAAAACTCTTGGAGGCTCCTCCAGGCCACTAGATGGAGGTGTGGATCTCGCTTTTCGCACACAAAGTGCCCTTCCCTCTTTCTTCAGCGGTTAAGGGGATAGAGGCCTACTGATACTTTCATGAAAGATCTGCAGGGCAGATCGATTCCATAGAGGTTTGAAAATTCATCACAGCATTCGTCTCAATTTTAATAGCCCTCCAGCAAAACCTGTGGTAGCACATTGACAAAAATAATTCATAGACGCTATCTTTAATCGACAAATAAGATGAATTTTGCCAGTCACCATCAAAAACATGTATCTTCTCATGAAAAGAGTAGAAATGGTGTATTATGACTGGAAGTACCTCAGGCTTAGAACTTTATGATCACCCGCGTATATCCCATCGCTCAGGTAGTCTTGCCCATTCCAATCGAAGGATTTCTAAAGAGCATGGCTGCTCGCTCGACTCCTTGTGTGAATCTGCGGTCTGCTTACCTCATGCGTGAAAGAAACATTGGAAAACAGATCAAGATTGACCCTGCTCGTAAACCTTAAAGTAGAAGCAGCCCAAGTATATTACAGCAGAACTTCATGCATTGTAACAAGTCAAACTTTGTATTTCTCCTATTCGTAAGGCTATACGTAACTGTGCCTCCTAATGAGTTAATCATGGGTCGAATACATGTAAGCAGTGTTAATTCATCTTGCGAACACCCGAAGCACTCAAGATTTGTCATGTCGACCCCGCCCAGACTAAAAACACCTTGTGTCTCTGTCACATTCTAGCATTTTATCAAATGCTGCCAGTTATGTACCTTTTATTCTCTTTTCGCAGTCTCTTGTCAGTCTTGCTCAGTAAATTCAGAATTATTTCTTATATTTTCGGATTGGCTTAATATTTCGTTAAAATTAGTGTTTAAATGCAATATAAATTCAGCATAATGTTGCTCTTAGAATTGGATTGAGCCTAGGTGTTATTGTCAGATGCTGCCTCGTTTTTTTAATATCAGAGCCTATACCATTCTGTGCTATTCATAGTCATTAATTAGCATAGTGTACTATTAAACTCAGTCCTGCCAATGCCTAACTGAGGCTAATAATAATACTTGGCCAATAAAGGAGCTCTACTTTGGTCATTAGATGACTTAAAAGATGGTTTCTTGGTTAGAAGTGCTGTCAGGGCAGAACTACATCAAGTAGGCCTTGATGTCACAGGGATACCAGTGTTGAATCATCCTTTTAATTAGTTCATTTTTCTATTCATACAGTTCTCAATTTCTTTCCTGCATGTTTGTACATGACTTACCAACCCATGACACATTGCACTTGAGGCCTGCTGATGTGCTCCAATATCCACTTCCAACCATGTGCCAATAAATGATGACATGCTTTCAGTAATTTTTCTAACAATTATTTATATATTTTTTGGAGGCATAAAAGTACTACATTAAGGCTCTTGTCATGATGAATTTCATGCACACTTGGAGATACCCAGTGAAGATAATGAGATTTATTGCTTTTTATTGCCCCCTGGAACAGTATTTTGGACTTTTCATAAATTTTCAGTTGCTGTCATCAACATTCTTGCAGATTTGCAAGGTTTGATCTTTTTGACAGCTTGCACCAGGTTCACATCTAAAGATTAACATTAAATTTAAGTGGACATTTGGTGCTAGAAAATATTTTACACCAAATGATATCTTGGCAATCACCAAATGGAGAAAGTAAGATATTACTCATGTAAGTCAGGTATACCCTTGTCTGCAATATCTGAAAAAAATCTTCAAGGCAGGCATTGTAGAAAGATGAAATCACATACTTGCTCAGCCATCCTGAAGATATGTACTACCAAGATCAAGAAAATGAATTTATTTGGAAGAGTCTCAACAAAATTTATTTGTAATGTGTTCAAATATCCTAATTTATTTTTCAATATTTTTGCTTTAAGGTTTTTGCTATTTATTACATCTCTAAATTTTTTTTTCTGAAAATTTATCATTTGCATTATTTTGCTTTGGAGTTGCCTTTTGTGCAAATGCTTTCAGACAAAAGGATGGGGTCTGCATGAAATTGCAGACCCCAAATCCACTTCAATGGAAGAAGATACTGTGGGAAAGCTCACTATTAAAAGGGACTGGAAAATTAATGTTTATTACAAGGACAAAAAATCAAAACTCTTCTTTAATCTGCTTTTCATTCTGTCTAGGAATCATGTCATGATAGAAAGAGAAGGAAAGGTGAAGATACAATTAGTGCTGGCCCATCACTCCCCACCCGCTCTCTCTCTCTCTCTCTCTCTTGCTTTATTTATTTAAGTTTCTGTTATTTTCCATAAGGGAAGTAGTTAATAATAAAATAACATGGTTACTCTTTAACATCATCTAGGCCCTCTGTGTATATATCACAATGGGATGTTTTTACTGTTAAAATAAAGCTGAAAAGCTTCAGATGATTTTGCCCATGGTTTGCATTTCCTTGCATATGGAATTCCCATATACAGTTTGAATTACCTTGATTTACTTTCCTCTGAGGATAACATGTTTTCTTGTGTCTATGTATATTTTATACAGGGTGGGCCAAAAAAAACTTGCTGTATCTGTCAAACTTCATAGTGAAGTTTCTCAAGAGTTAGCAAAAATTCTAATGGCATTCCTCTATAGCAAGTATTATTCATATTTCCACTGGTGTCAGCAGATTTACAATCTATGAGATAGTTTTCAAGTTGTTATCAAAAGTGTATCAGAGAAAGCATATGGAAAGTGTGCTCTACAGTACCCTTTAAGATGTGGTCAAGCAACATCCATGCCTTCACTTTCATCTTGTTAGGATGTTATCTACACATTAGTGACAGTTTCAAGGTCTAGACTTCAGAGTTAGGCCAAGGATTTTCTGCTTCAATTCTTGGAAGTCTTACCCTTGAAGACAGCATCTTTTAAAAAGATGTGTCCAAAGAGAACAAAGTGACAAGTAGCATTTACCTGACCACCAGACATTATTCAAAAGCTCTTAATCCCCAGGAAATTTCTCCTATTATGGTTCTGAAAGGAGAACTCATTGCTGATTGAATTTGATTAGTTTCTGATGCATTGAGACCCTGTAAGCTGTAGCTGTTCCTGAATAATTCATCAGCAGGACATGGTAGATATTTTGACACAGCTTGGCAAGTTGATGTTTTATGAAGCATGTGAAACATAATTTATCAAGTGTTTAAGCCTGTCCCAATTGAATTGAATTCAAGAAACTTTGAGAGACCCTTAGTTCTTTACTTTAGCATGCTTCTCAAATATCTTCAGCTAATCTCAGATGGCTTGATCTTGTGGCAGTTCTTAGCCAAACATGTCATGGAAGCACTGCTACAGACCTTATGCACCAAAGTGACAAAATTATTGCCTCTCACCTTGGAACATGAAGGTTTATTCAACAGGGGAAACTCTTTCCTTACTCATCACTTGAGGCATGTTGGTTGTAACCAGACACTTCAAATTTTTCTCCTTGAGGCATATTACATGCACACCATGCTCATTCCATCCATTTAAAACAAGTTTGTGACCTCTTGCTACATCAAGCCAACATTGTAGCATGGCACCTTTTTAAGTGTTACCTCTGATAAACATCACATAACTGCATAAAAACTATGGTATGGTTCTCAAATCTGCTGACATCACTGAAAAGCTGAATAAATGTTCTATAGAGAGATGTCATTTCAATTTCAGCTACTTATATATGCTGCATAAACCTTGATGGGACTGGGTTAATATGGAAGACTCAAGATTTTTTAATAAGATTTATTTAATATATTGTCAGCATCCTTGCACCACCCACCAGTGTAAACATTTCCTGCACTTGCTTTGTCTTTCCCCCTTTTCAGGATGATATTTCCATGCTTATGAGGATCAGTATAAGTTAGTGTTAGGTCTTGCTTTGACCATCTTACAAAGGAGGGGGGAAAAGCAACCATTGACTAAGTAAACCACTTCTGTAAAATCATCATGGTACCACATGCTCAAAAAGGACACATTAATATGAATTATTTTACCCATACAACACTTAGGACATTAGCAAGGTTTTAAGGGTCACGTCACAAGTAGGATATTGGCCTGACTAAGGATGCATGGATTGACATCTAGATCAGCTCACTTGAAGGTAATGAGTTGTGAGAAAAAGCTGTCTGGTCACCACATTTAGCTTCCTTCTACAGACCACAGGTGTAAGTGGCATGGATTGGTTTGAATAAGTGTAGGCTTAAGAGAGTCTTTTTTTTTTTCAGTGTTTGAAAGACAGCTGGAGTATAAAATATCTGATGCTGTGAGAAATGAGGTTGAAGGGAAGAATAAGAATTTGAGGTCTTGGCTTCCAGCCTGTAATAGAAACAATGTCCAATTCTCCATCCCAGCCCCATCGGGTTGGTGGGAGTGACTCAGGACTGGACTCCACTGCCCTTCATGGTCTGTTCAAAACCACACCCATATACTTGGAAATTGGAAGGAGTCTTGATGGAGTACCTGATGATCATCCCCAATCCCATCATAAGACTGTGACCAACAAGGGTAAGTCAGCTTAACCCCTTGTCTGGAATGGAACCCATATATCTCACCTAGGATAGACTTTTAAAAAATTTTTTTTGTGAATATGCAACTGCACATTCAACCTAAAAAAAAAGACATTAAAAAGCAATACCTGCATAATACTATCCATAGAAAGATATAGCTTTCCCACCCTTCTGGAATGGATTCATCATTGAGCATTCTCATATCATAGCCATTTATTTGGATTTGCCAGCATCAGTTAAGACTCGACACATTGCAGTAAAACTTTGCATATATGAAATAATCCAGGGAAGGGGATATATCCAATATTGCTGGATATGGCCTGCTTTGTACATCCACCAAGTTTTGCATGCAATTTTCAGATCACACAATGTGTCATATCATTACATCAGTTGTATTAGTAGTGTTGCGATGGGAGAATAATAAAAGAATAATTGCTCAGCTTGCTCCCAATCCGAAGCTTGACAGAGCTGTATCTATTAGAAGCAACTTATTGAAAAAGAGTAGGGGTCAGCTTCTATAGTGACTTTTTTAATTAAGTATGGCTGTCCTTTTTTCCTTTTAGGCCTCTCAGAGAAGTGAGGATTTTGGATATTCAAAGTTTTATGTATATGTGGGTGGGAGGAAATTGCACAGAACTGTGGAGTTCTTATCTGCTTAAAATAACCTGAGGATGGCTTTTTTCTGTTTTAGTGCAGCACCACAAACCTGTTCCTGACATCACTGGAGAACAGAGACAGATTCTTATATCTGATCAAAGGAGAAGATCTAGCTTCAAGTCTGAATGCAATGAGAATGCTGGGTAAGGAACTGCCAGGTTCACTCCTATGTTCAAGTTAGCTTATTTTTTATGCTGTCTTGCTAGAAAATGTTGTGAAAATGATTTGGTTCATGATGATATGCCTATTGCTTTTTCAATGAAGTCAACTAAGAATGTCATATGTTGCTTTATAACTAAAATGATAAGCATAACCTTTGTGGAATTGCTTCTCTTGTGACTGCCCTACCTATTTGTGTCTTCTTTCTAGTGATAGGAAGTTAGGCATGCAAGTAGTTGGAATGAGAAGTAAACCATCTCTTCCCTCCTCACCAGGCCACTCACTACCTGTAACCCTCCCTGCACCTTCTACGTCTTATGGTCTTGTGCCATCCTTCACTGTCCTATCTCCTGCTTCTTCCCCATACTCTGCATGACTCTCCACCCCCTCTCTTGCACTCAAATAGAATAATTTTCAGGTATTTATTAACTTCTCTTTAGCATTTGGGGAGAAATAAATTGTGATTCTCTCAGGTCAGAATTTTTTTTATTCAATAAAGTGATTAAATGCTGTTTCTTCATAGTGAATGGAGGTACACTTGTGAAATTTTTAGATGCTTCAGATATAGTAAGGGTTTTTTTCTGGACCTGAAGAACTACAATTATCCTACCTAAATACTTAGACTTGGTTCTCTTCTTTAAGTCTTCTAAAGAAAGGCCTTTCTTTAGGTCTTCTTGGAATCTTGAAATTATAAATTTTCAGCAAATTAAGTAGATATATTCTCTATTGATTTTTACTGATGAATCAGTGATTTCTCCTCCCTCGGTCATGATGTCTCTTGTTCCTTTCCTTTACCCATTCTATATTTTGTGTCATTGTCTGGGGTATTTTTTCTTGGAATGCATAATTGATATATTTTTGACTGAAGTTTTTTTTAAACATGTATTTGGAGCAGGGGAGGGACAAGTTGAAGATAAACAGTTAATGAATGTTAATGCAAAAGTCTTGTTTTCTTTGTTGCTGGGCATCCAGCTATGTGGAGCACACATTCAGAGAAGATGAGTATAGGATGCAGATATACACAGGGAGCAACATTCAGATGCCAGGAGAACCTTCTCATGCTACAGTAACAATTGAATCGCAACAGCCAGGAAGCCAGGAGAAGGAAGTAAAGAAATTTCATTGTGGTTTTGAGGGATGTCATAAAACATACTCCACTGCAGGTAATCTCAAAACTCATCAAAAGTCACACAGAGGTGAGTCAGTTTAAATAATATATAATTTACTTCATGTTGCTGATTACTTCATGCATTTTTTAAATTCACATTTTGGCTTTTCCTCTCTCCCCAGGGGAATATGTGTTCCGATGCTTAGAGTCAGGATGTGGGAAGGCCTTTATCACCAAATATGCCTTGAGGATACATATCAGAGTTCATACTAAACAAAAGCCATTTGAATGCTCTGTTACTGGGTGTGAGAAGGCTTTTAACACATTGTACAGGTGAGTGTATGGACACTTTTGCAGACATAACAGAGAGAGAGAGAGAGATGGCTCAGCATCATTTTGCACCATTACTCTTTCCTTCCTATATCTTCTATATGTTTTATTTAGATACATTTTGGCATTTTTTTCAGATGTCCCCTTCAACCCATGCATCTGAAGAGCCAGACATGTGTGAAAACTATCTGAAGGTGTCAAACTATGATAGATCAAACATAATTTTGCTGTAGAGACTGCCAACTCCCTTAAGTTCTTACCTCTTAGAACCACTATGACTTGGGACTATGTTATATGCATCCCAATTATTGGGTGTCCCAGGATAGTTGTTTCCCTCTTGGAGGGAAAACAGAAGACATCATAGTCCTGCTTGTTTAGCAATTATTAAAGTACTAACTGAAGTACCTGGCATAGCCCAGGGAAATTCAATATTTCAATTTTTCATACATGACAAATATAGGAACATTAGCCTTATGGTTTCCTATAAGTTACCGATCTTGGGTGTTGCAAAATGCGCTCGGACCCCTTTCCATTTTTTTTTACTTTATCTTTTTTTAATGCTTTGAATAATTTCTAAATTATTTTGGAGTTAAAAAACTTATTGGCAAAATGTTTCCATCGTTTTGAAACATATTTTCGATAAAAAATTGATCAAAAGAATTTTACTTACTACCTACTGTAGTGATCCAGCAATTTGGATTACCCTGGGGTACTCTAATGCAGGTGGCCAGGAGGGGAGAGTTGGGTGGCATGAAAGAATGGAAAAAAGTGCAGGGGACAGCCGGGAATCGAACCCAGGCCCCCTGATTGTTGGTCAGGTGTGCTACCACTGCACCACCGAATCTAGAAGTCAGTCATTCCTCTCAATACCATCCCAGACACTTCAGTACCCTGGGAGTGAACATTTTGGCTGGAAACATAGCCCTTGACCTTCCCCTGAATGAAAGAGGAGGCCATGCAAAGTTTGGTTGCACTGGCTCCTGTGGGGTCCAAATGCAGAGATGTGGGGAGTGAAAAAGGGAAAAACAAAATAGCATATGCAAAATATATGTGTATAAATGTTAAATTCAGGTTGCAGATGTTGGAATAAGTTCAAGCTTCCACTAATGTTGCTCCTTTTATTCTCTTGCTGGTGGCTGCTCTGTATTTATATAGTGCATATAAAATTCTGAGATTCTGTTAACTTGTTTTTCTATGGGAGTAGAATTGAAATGATGTATAAAGTGGACCTCAGAAATGTACCAGATTTCAGCTGCTTCTTATTAGCTAAAACAAAAAAAGATTCATATTGGATGAAGAAAGCTGTAGATAGAGCATCTATCAAAATTTTCAACATGCTGTTCATGAATCTTGCAAAATTTTATTGAACTCAAAGCTAGAGCAATTCATAGTTGAAGTGTGGCACACTCCAGAAGGCTGTAACTAATTTTCCTGCTTGCCTGCTTGCTTGTATTCAGCAACATGGTGGATACATTAAGCAAACCCTTTCAAGTTGAAGAGTTTTGCAAAACTTCAAGGGATAGGGTAACTTGGGGGAATATGGCCCTCCACAATGAATCCCCTTACAGACTGAATAATTAGTTTTGGCGAATCAAAAAAATCGTTCAATCGAAGAACACATGCAATTGTCTAAATGTTTAGACCTGTTCATTGATCCAGTTCTTACAGGAATTCAGGTTACATTGATGTCTTGAAATAGATATGCATGCAATTCTTTGACTCATGACCCTGAAACTTATATGAGCCTTGACCAACTTAAGCATATATTTCCATATAACAGCATGGATACAGAAACCATTTCTTCAAAGTTCTTCTATGGTTCCTCCAGAATGCTTGTGCAAAGTGCTAGCCCCTTCACTTGTGATTTGCAGACAGTGTTGTCAATTTTGTCATGGAAGCCAATATGGGGGAATATGGCCATCTCAATTTGGGATAATATGGACACATTCTTCATTTCATGTTAGCACTGCACTGACCTATTGGTAGTGTCAGCTTCCGTTCATGTGGAATCTCAGGCTGCGAAAGATCATCCAATCCACTTCCTGTGGATATATGGATAGACGTACCGGACATCTGGACGAAATATGCAGTACAAACTAAGGAATGTTTTTCCTGCAATGTAAGACCTCTTATTTTGCACTCGTAATGCATGTTCACTTTAATTTATGATTGATCACTCATCAGGCCCACAGTCTCTGAATACATTCTCCCAGTCATGTGCAATGCTACTCAAAGCCAAAAATGTTTCAATCCTGCTTTCCATAACAGGTCCTTGCGTCGGTAATGATTTCGACTTCTTTGGTAGTCCTCAATGCAGTTAATGTTTTTATTTTCAACTGCTGAGCCTCCCTTATTATGTTTCAAGGTACTCAGCATGTTCCAGCATATTTCACTCGTACCTGGAAAACCTTGAGTTGTTTTTTGAGAAGTGGTCATATTCCCCCAACAACTTGGGTAATATAGCCTCTTGGGAACAACTTGGTAAAGATCCAAAGGCACAATATCCATGTGGTTTTTTGCATGTGCCTTGCTGAGATTTAGTAAAGGAGATATGAATCAGTATTTTAGAAACATTGTAAAAGTCGAATTCCACCATGATGGGCAGTTATGACCAGGTTTCATTTTGTAGGGCCATATTCCCCAAATTACCCTACTCTTTGTTCTGCCTTTCTTATCAAATAGTATAATTTTTAGTGAGACAGAGTTGATCTGATAAGTTTCAGTGGTCCACCAGGTGTTATTGAGAGCGTAATAAGTGAGTACTGGTGCTCTCTTAAGCATCTACTCATTTCAAAATGGCAATCGGCATTGAAGTGCTGGAAGTTGATTTCTGAATATGTCAGTGATTACTGATTAAACATTTTTTGAGGGTTTCATTTTTTTTTTTCAATTTAAATAAATATAATACATTGAAAAAATATTCCTTAAAGCAAACATTCAATGTTTAGGCTTTCTACTCTCCTTTCTTTTTTCACAATTCTCTCTATCAGAAAATTTGGGGTTGGTGCAAATTCCCCAAAGACTGAGCTTACTCTGTTTTGATTCCAGGTTGAAATCACATCAACGTCTTCATTTTGGCACGACATTCAATTGTGAAGAGAGTGGATGCTTCAAGATCTTCACAACACTCAGTGATCTGAAGAAGCATTCCAGGGTCCATACAGGAGAGAGACCATTCAAGTCAGTTTTGCTCCTTCTACTTGTATCTAGCTTCTTTTCTTTTTCTTCCTACCACAAAATGGGATTACCTGTAACATCATTTTTGAATCAGGGCTTTGGAGCAAATTAAAAATCAGTTTAGTTGCTGTTACTTTCCTTTCCCTAGTCTTTTCATTTTAGTTTTCAATTCAATCCACTACTTGGAGTTTTCTTTTCATTTTTAGCAATGTCAGTTGTAGCCATTCTTATATTGAAATTAGAGGTGAACAGATAAAATTCCAGAAGCATTGATAACATGCCTTGTTGAAAAATAAAAAGAATAGTGAAAATAATTTATGATAACCCATGATTCACTGGAGTTTCAGCATTCACACTCCAGTTTACTTGTTAACGCTAAAAGACTTCATTTACTCTAATTGACAGACTCTTTACACAAGTGCTGGCAAAAAAAATTACCATGAATAACAATTTCAAATTATATTTCTGAAGTTTTGGATTGTCATAGGAAAGGGATTCTTGTGCTTTCTGAATTTATTTTAATGTTAAGCCTTGACCAGGCATTGAAAACATGGTTCAAGGGTTGACTCCTTCATGCATGTATATCTAAATTTTGGTCATGATTAAATTTCCTGGAAAAGCCTACTTATTAGAATATTAATTAAATAAGTATGGTAATCTTGCCTAAGAAAGGCACTCACAACCCAAATAGGTCAATAGCTGTTTTTGTCTTGAGACCATTGTGATGTTAGATGAAATAAAAATTGAAATTGTGGTTTCACAGTGAAACCACTTTGCTAGAATGGGTTAATTGTTGCACTCTGAATGTAGGAATATTCAAAATTGTTATATTTGACAGGAATGCTGTCATGGAGTGTGCATTTAATTCTTTCACTGTGGTGGTCAACTTATTTCACACAGTTGCTAGTCCTTAACCGTATCAATTCTACTATGCAGCAAAAGAGTAATGTGGTCCTGAAAAGTAACTGACTGGAAAAAGGTACAGATTTTGGATGAGTAAATAAATTAGAGCAACCTTGCTTATAGTGAATCTCTGCTTTAACAACAATTTTTTTCTGGTCTATTTAAAGTTCAAGAGTCAAGTCAATTCAATTCAGAGTGTAATTTCTATAATTGATAATGAGAAAGATGAATGAAGCAAGACTGAAGAAACTAAAATTATGGAGGAGATTATCATGAAATAAAAATTTGGCCAGATAAAAACACAAAGCAAATTGCTTTAATTGATGACTGTACTGATGACCATTTTTGCTCAATGGACAATTGCAGTCTCATACCCATTAGTAGGTGCTGATGCTGATTGTGACAAATAAATAGAGCGGTGAACCATGCATGATGTCAAATTTTCAAGTAGCCCTATTATGAAGCTGTCTATTTTTTTAACCCCACCATGATGGCTGTTTTGAAAACATTGGTGTATTGGTTATTTGGTATTGACTGGAACTATTGATGGTGCATCAATAGTTCCAGTCAATACGAAAGGCACAGGGAAGGGTGGGAGGCAGGTTCTTTCATCTTTTGTCACAATCAGACAGGGCTTTGCTTTCCATAGCTTCTTGCCTCAATTGGGGCACAGACCACTTTCTGTTTTCCATCATCTCTCACCAATGGTCAGGGTGCAAGTGTGACTACTGCAATAAATATTAGAACCATTGATGCCTCCAACTCCCAACATGTGAACATCTGTGTTCTTGTGTTTTTTGTTTTTGCTTTTCTTCATTTAGCACTATCTTCTGGTATTGATATGGGCAGCTTGCAAACCTATTGATGGCCAATGGCTCCAATGGTGCCATGTTGGCAGCTAACGCATTGCCACAGTCCCACTTTATATTAATTTTTATCAATTAAAATAAAACTAAAAAAATAACTGAAACTAAGCTAAAATAATCAAATAAAATAGCAAAAAATCCTAGAATCCAGACTGAAATTGCTTTCAATCCCATGTTTGCTAAGTTGCTTTCTTTTTCTGCAGGTTGTGTGACTGTGAAACTAAGCATTGTAAGAGGACATTCACCTGAATGGGAAGATGAAAAGTTATTAATTTACTGGTTCTTGGGTAAAAAAAGAAAAAAAAGTGGGACAAGTTATTTCTGGACTGATAACTGGATGTGAGTAGGATAAAAATTATTCCAAGTTATGAGAAGGTGAGAATAGGGTAAGTATAAAAACCCCCAACAGAATAGCATTGCTTCCACTGCATCATTGGCGTAGCTTGAAAATTTCATTGTAAGTACAATGAGTGAGTTGGGGCTGGCTGACTTTCTGTTAGAGGAACTGTATGCACCTCTTGATGTTTTCATCTCTGACCAACATCTTTTTCATGTAAGGAGTTTGAAATTTATGTTGGAAAGATGCTGATATGATGAAAACTTGATTATACCTGAACCTGCTGAATTTGGTTTGGTAACTCTTCTATTAATATATCAGTTTGATGTTAATGGCAACCAGAGTCTTAGGGCAGATTCCTCTCTTTCACAATGTTGTGGATATATAGACAGTCAGGTAGACACTGGTAACAGTATATCTGGTAATGATATGTTGCATATGAATAAGAAGAACTTGTATAATTTTTAGCTGGCATTTTAAGTCATGTCATTTACAAAGTCTCTGTAACAATAGGATGCGGGGACTTTTGCAGATGCAAGGAGAGGGGCTGTGGGAAAGCATTCTCTGTGAGCCATCACCTAAAAGTACACCGTCGGATCCACACAGGAGAGAGACCTTATCCGTGTGATGAGAGGAAATGTGGGAAGAATTTTTCCACCAAGTACAGCCTTAAGCGTCACCTGCTAAAGGGACATCACTCTGCTTATCCTTCTGTATGTTTCCCTGATTTTGCCCCTTCTCTTCACATACCAGTGCCTGCATTTCCTGCATATGATCATGCACATTTTGGCCTCAGCTTGGCTGCTAATGACTATGGGGAGAGGCATAAGCACGAAAGCCAAAAATTAGGATGGAAACTACTTTCAAGGGAAATATAGAAAAACTAGACTCAATTTGCTCTACCTGAGTTTGTATTATCCACTACTTCCAATCATTGGTCAATCTATATTTTAGCTGTTGTGCATCATGAACATAGGTGTTCACTAGACCATCAATGATTGATGTATTTTGCTGAACTTAAATGCAAACTATCATCTTCAGCTGCTACTCATTTGGACATACAGTAACATTTTCATGTAGCATAGTGATACAAAAAAAAAACATTCATGAAACTCTAGTATTTTGCCAATGTTAACAGTGCAAACCTGTTCCTACCTTCTGTCCTTTTTGTAAAAGTACAAGAAACTGTCATTGCTGTAAATCATGTAAAAAATATTTTTCAAGGTCATTAGTGTGGCCTTGCCATCTTATGGATTAACAACTTCTGATTCTTCATCAAGACCAAACAGTTCTTTTGAAGTGTAAATATAATTTATTTTTCATTTCATTGCATTTGCATTATCTTTTAATATCAAAATTGCTCTTAGATATGGTTTCAGTGCTGTAATTCCAAAGAATAGATTATTCAGTACCAGGTAGCCCAAAAGAAAGTTCCAAACTTTACTTGCCTGCAGACTGAATACCATATGAGTAATTGACAGGGAATATACAGGGTTTTGCACACAATATTTACAGGTGAAACTTTCAATGGAACGTCAATGAAATTGGTAGTTACACCTACCTGAGTAACAGTTTTTCTCCCATATGATGTCAAAAGGTTGAGTGTGCAAAGAAGCACAACTGACCTCAATTAAAGAAATGCTTGATGAGCCCTCCATTGATGTGTATCCTCCAATGATCACCAGCCAAGGCAGCACTTAAGGCAAATGCACTGACACACTAGTTCATTTGACACTCATATGGAAAGAGCTCTTACTCATGTTCAGAATAAGGAATTTCATAAACAATTTTTGGAAACCACCAACACATATTGGATATTACACTGAAAATTTCCAGACGATTCTTGATATGGTGTCCCATCTGCAGATGCATAAAGTTCTGGACTTTTTTTTTTGGGTCACCCCGTATTTAATATGGAATTCGTGGAGGCAGAAGAGCCCAACAGAGTTCTTAGTTTGGCCTATAATTCATCTTTCAAATAACACTGATTGTGATTGAGTTGGCAGGCATTCAGTACCTTATCTGTGACAGTGAAATCCCATGTTTCATGAGCTGCTTTTTATAAAGTGGACACACCTGTGATAGTCAGCTGACTAAAAATTAGAAGGTTGTCATTACAATTTGTTTCTCCTTGTGATGGCAAAGTTTAGGGAAAATAATTTTTTTTACCACCCAATCTGAGATAGTTAAAGATCAAAGAGGTCAGCTTCCTCCATATGGTGCTAGGTCACAAATTCACATCCCATAGCTACTGCTAGATGCCTTTTTTTTTCTTTAATACTTGCATTACTAGATTCTTAAAAGCTTGGTGGCAATAAATCTCCACAATCTATTTCATGATGACATTTTTTGTGGTTTCTGAATGATGGCATTTTAAAACATTAATGCCCCCACAGTTCTTCACATGGACTACATGCTGACATTTTATAGTCTGTTTTGAAATTTTCATTCAAAGTAATGAGTAATTTTTTTAGTTATCAGATATGAAAAATGCAGTTTTGGCATAAATGTGACATCATTCTCACATTTATATTGGCTTTCATTGTTTAGTCTGAAGACAGTTGAAAGAACAAGAATTTCTTCTTGTGTTTAAGTTTACTTACCTCACAAATCATGTCCTTTCATCTCGACTCAACATAGCAAATGACACACTAATAATAATTCCTTCTTCTAAAAAAAAGTCATGGGAAGCCTGTAGAAGGACATATTTGTTCCAAAAACTTCCCTATCATCTAAGATGACATGACAAAGAAACCAAGGAGGAAGGATGCAGAGTTCACTTGAACCTTGATGCAAGAACTAGTAACTGATTCTTGCACATAGAGACCTGAAGCATGAAGTAAGATCCAATATGTGACTGTGCCAAGATTCAGGTGAACTCTCCATGCTATAGCTAGGTTTCATCCAGCTCTGTGAGATAACCCTACACAGCTTCTGGGGTACTTCAGATGGAATGCTAGGCATAAAAATTTTGCTTTAAACTAAAGTTTTATTACTTCTCAAGACATACAACTTCAGTATTGTGCTTCTTTAAATGGAAATTTCAATAAGCCATGAAAGAAAGAAGAAGTGGCCTATCTTTACTAATAAAAATTCAATTTAAGAGATCCCATTATCAGGATACCATGAAAGTTATTCCACAAGTTTGAATAGGAAAGATAATTCTTTCAAATGATGCCTAATTTGTATTTTAACCTGAATGTAGCTATAACCATAGAGGAAATATGGTTGACTGACTTTTTTTTTAATTCTGAGCTTAATTATTGATACTTCTGACAGCAAAGAGATACAGTAAAATTACTATAGTGTAGTACTTTTGACAGCAAAGAGATACAATAAAATTACTATAGTGTAGTACTTTTGACAGCAAAGAGATACAATAAAATTACTATAGTGTAGTACTTCTGACAGCAAAGAGATACAGTAAAATTACTATAGTGTTGTACTTCTGACAGCAAAGAGATGCAGTAAAATTACTATAGTGTAGTACTTCTGACAGCAAAGAGATACAGTAAAATTACTATAGTGTAGTATAGACCTTGTCCTCCTTGACAAAAGCTTTTATTTGATACCACTTTCATCTTGAAGTAGAAGTTATAAGTTATAAGATGAATAATTCCTGTGAAATGGCCAACTTCAACCAACCCTGTGGGCCAATTGCCCGCAGGTTCTACAGGATTTTTTTCACCCTTCTCATCAGCACCATGTAATAAAAAGCAGAAAAAAATTAGCATTTAGCTACAGCTAAGAGCTATAAATTTGTAGCTTAACACCATCTAGGGGTCATTGATCTTGAAAATCTCTGAAGGATAAAGAGAAAATCACTAGAGCAACTTTTAAAATTCCAAGTCAGTTGTCAGTGTCACTAAACCTTAGAGATGTTTCCACTTCATTAAATGAGACTCTCAACCCTTTCAGGGCAGAATTCCAAAATCAGTGAACAAAAAAGATTAAACTGACGTCATGGGCTCATTTTACATTGAACAGGAACAATCAATTTGATATAATCCAAGACAGAAAATCCAAAAAACAAAAGCTATTTCTCATGGAAAACATGAAAGCAATTTCTCTTTGTGGCCTGGCAGAATGCAACACTACTCTTGATTTAGCCCTGATCCAACTATTTTATTTTACTTTAAAACAATCTGCTACTATTTTTTTTATTTTAGTCAATCAAGCCAATTGATTATAATTCAGCAAAAACCTCTTCAACCAGAAAAAGTCAAAAGTTTGAACTTTTCAAGCCACATTCTAAACCTATGGTAGCTCATGATGACTACTAACACCCTTGTGTCTTTGTAAAAGAAGGAAAAGATCTGGGACTTCCAACTGGTAAGAAGCATTTTACTTTGTGATTTATAGATGGCTCTGGAGAGGTATATGAAGATGATGGCAGTAGGCATGGGTTAGCCTAGTTGCAGTTGGGACATTCTTTTTTATTAGTATTTGACTCCCTTTTTTTTTGTTTCTCTAGGAGTCCCGTAGCCCTGAGTCCATCCTGCCTGATAATGGAAATTCAGCCTTAGTGGAAATTCAACCTTTGAACTCATCATCCTGTTTCTGTGAGTTTGAACTTCTTCTCCTTATTTTTTGCCTCCTAATTCTTCCTTCCTGATAAGAGTAGGGGGGTATTTGCCTTGTTTGAGTTCAAGAAATCTGATTCTTGTATGGCATTGAATTTATCATAGTGTTCTCCGTGCAGACCTTACTGATTTTGTATTACTTGAAAAGATGCCATGAGTAAACATTTATGTTGATTCCCAGAAGGCTGGGATTCATTGTTTCAGGCATTAATGAAAACTTGGGACACATTTTATGACTTAGATTACAAGTCCTCAAGAGTTAGCATCTTATTGAAATTGGCATTATGCTTGAAGGTCAAACAAGGCATGTGACTGGAAGCATTTGGTTAGAGGGAGTACTGGACCACTGGATATGATGAAAAGCAAAATAAATGCACTGAAATTATAAGGTTTCAACTGGATCATCACTCCCCTACCTCTGCTCAGCCATTCCATGTGGATGTAACCACATTTTATGCTTTTTGTGCTTGACCATTATTAATATTCTTAAAAATTAGCATTAAGTAAGATATGATAGTTCCAAACACAGACATATGATTTCATTTAAATAGAATCAGAATGAATTAAGATAGTTTGGTTTTGCTAGTTGCTAGTTTTGGTACCACTGTACACCTGGGTTGCTTATGCATAACATATGCTTTAGGTTCACTTCTAATTGAACACCAATTTGTTGTTTTTTAGCTCTAATTTTTTCTTTCTTATGCCATCAAAATCAAAACTGTTGATTTGCCCTTTGTTGAGTAAGCCTGTATATTTCTGGGCTGATGCTATCCTGCTTTCCTTATATTCACTTCAAGAGATCTTGCAGGTGTTAAAAAAAAAAACACTTCTCAAAGGGTTAAGGAAGATATTCAACTTTTTTGTTTATGAGCACCACCAAATGAGTGACACACAGGCCAAGGCACTAACCAACCTAATCAAGTAAAACCTTTACAACAATATAGTTCTTGAGTCCCTCTTTTTGCACTGGCATATTTGGTTTTTGCCATTTACATAAGTTGCAGACAAGTAAAAATTAAAAGCTATGTGAAATATCTTCTATTTTTTTCATGTTGAAAGTAATAGGATGAGGAATGTAATGGAGCATGCCAAAATGAAGAAAGTCTAGGCCTAGAATATACTGGTATCTTGAATGCACTGAAAAAAAAGTAATGAAAAAATTAGAATCGCCAAAATGTCAAATGACACTTGATTTAAAGGAATGCCCAGGTCTTCATCTGGAATCAGAAAGAGGGATTGAAAACTCCAGATTATGTGCAATACATAGGAGAAAGTTTAGGACATCTCTGTTTGCATAGTCTTTTCAAATTGTCTGAATTCTGTGGTTATGCTAAATGTCTTTCCATCAGGGCCTCAGTTCATGGCCCACAAAGAGTCCTCTTTCCCATTTCATCTTAATCTGTTCTTGGTGGAATTCCAAAAAAACTCCCAAATTTGAATGATCCAATGGCAGGAGTGATGTGAACCTGCAATACCATCCTTCCACCAAAGGGATCTTTTTTTTCAAAGCTTCATTGGCATTCTAAATACCTAATGGGAAAAGGGAGGGTGAGGATGACCTTGCATGTACCTACCATCTATGTTAAATTCTTAGAAGTGAGTTGCAATCTACTGTCCTTATTAAGGAATATGTAGGAGTAGAGCATCGTAGACACTGCGGATGTCCTGAATGGGTATAAAGGCCAAGGCAACAATAAGTGCATGAATAGAGGAAAATCCTCATCATTTTTGTACCTTTCCACTAGATGAGCATCTTGGATTCTCCTCCAGATTAATTGCAATCAGTGGAATTTTCATATTCATTGGAAGGAGATATTGACATTGAAAGGAGAGAGATGGCTGTGGGGAGCAGTCTTTATCTGAGAATGTGTGTTCTGTTTTTCCTCTTTTTCTACCTTCTGTTACATTCAAGGTTTTGTCTTCTTTGACATTTCATGTCATTTGCCGTCGTGTACTTCATTTCAGTTCCTTTGAGGTTTCATTATAGATCCAGAATGTAAAGTATGGGGAAATTCATTTTCAAAGTGCATACTTCATAGGACTCCTCTTCTATTAAAGCTACATTCTTTTTCAGACAAATGGAACTTGCCCAATTCATTCTTGTTGTGGTGTTAGCTTGAAGCATCATGCTGACATTGAGTCTGGCATTAGCATGTGCTAGAATATGACAATTATGGCATGTTGCTTACATCTCCCTTTGATCAGAGTGAATTTTTGATAGTCCAAAAGAATGAAATAACTCTAAATAACTCCATAAAGTGTTGCTTTGTTGATTTACAGGGTGTCCTGAAAGTTTAACCCCTCCCAGTGGGTCAGAACTTTCAGATACTACCATTAGTGCATTGTACATTTTTTGTCTTGCTGATGTGGCTGCAACTAAGAAGAAGTTATATTGGTTCAGTTACAAGCTTTGACTGTAATTGAGGAGTTCTCTAGAAAAAGGGTGTATGTGCAAAAGATGAAATTCGAGATAAATGATAAAAGCTTCTCATAGCTAATTTGAAGCTGGTCAAAACTTAATTATCAGTAAAATGGTATATTAGACTTTTTTCCAATTGAACTTGGGGTTTTAATGAATTTCTTTATCTCACGTTGCTGGGATGCAGGGAGAATCACAAATACGAGTATACGGGGAAAAGGTATAGGTACGACGACTTTGAAAAGGTTCAGAAAGCGGTCAAAAAAAGTCATTTTTATTATGTATTAGTTACATAGATGTCTAAAGTTTATTTGAGAAAGATGAAGAATAGCAATGAAAATGTGAATATTCAGGACATGTTTCATTCACCAATTACTCAACAGTGATCCTTTATTAATGTATTCATCATCTGAATCAGCAACTATTTCATGGATATCTCCAACTTCCCTCATGTCCTTCTAGAGGCTTGAATGACTGGGCCTCTTTCTTTCCCTTTCCTCGTGTCTGGTTTCTTCCTCATTTTCACTTTCAGTTTAAAAAGACGAAATAATTCCACCAAAATCGTTCAACATGCAAGTGCTAATGGAATATTCATGGAGGGAGCCATATTGAAATTGCCAGGTAGTTGGCCTGCTAAATAGTGAGAGCATAGGAAAATCTGCTTCTACTTTGCTGTTATACGTGGAATTGACGAACGACTGGTTAGATAGGATAACGATCAGTGGATTTCGTCGTGTACCTGTGACTATAACCTTTTCCCGTATACCCGTGTATACGGGGAAAAGGTCTCTTGAAGAGTTAAGACAAAATTATTCCTTTGGTACAATTCTTTTGTTTCATTAGGATGAAGTGTGAGCATCAGCATTATCGAAACACTAGTAAATTTACTCTAGAAATGACTCCAAAAACCAATTAGCAAGTGCTATATATTCACTCATTCTGATCCTATTTAAATTAAAATGGATATCTGTGTTTGGAACCATCATATCTTTCTTTTTTTCAAGAAAATTAAAATTGGTCAAACACATTTTGTAAAATGAGGTCACATCAACATGAAATAACCACTATGTGAGACTGTGCCAAGGGGGGGGGGGGACGGACATGCTCTATCAAGGGGCTTATGAAATCTTATCTTGCCCTGCGAGTATGTTACTATGAAAAGAAAAATGCCAGAGGACTAGATGTGACCATTGTAGATAACAATTTAGAAAGCTGCAATGTCTTCAGTTTTGAATCTCAATGATATTCATGCATAAATACAGAGTGTCAAATAATGGATGCTCCCATAAGAATCTTTATATCTTCATTGAATGTGAGTGTATGAGCTTCAACTTTTGCAAGAATTGTCAGTAACTCCAAGAGATTTTTTCAGGCATAGGCATTACATTTCTTCTAATATTGAAATTTTAATTTTAAAATGGTGACTTACAGCATCAAAAACTCATTTCTATGGTGCAATAATACTATTTGAATAAAAAATTCCAGAGACAGTGAGAAGGGCTTCTTGCAGAGTATGAAGTGAAAGATGGCCCATTGAAGTCAACAATCAGCAAATTTAAACGGAGAGGGGATGTAAATTTGTTTCAGCCATACAGGGATTGGGTTCATGCAAGAAACCTGGCTCATGCAGGACAGTGTGAATCGCCATGTGATTGCTTCCTGGCATTAAAGGTAAAGCTCAATAAAACTACCCAAAAACAATCAAGGAGCTCCAGGATGCCTTTCAGAGTGAAATTGAATAGATTTCCAGAGAGGCTCTCGAAGCTGTCACCCAGAAATTTGTTGTTAGGCTGTTTCATGTGGTTGCAAATGAGGGCACCCACATTAAGCACATAATATAATATTTTCTTACAGTTGTAGTTTAATATGCCATTTGAATTTTGTTTCTAGCTTTTGTAGATTTTGAGAAATAAAGGTTTATTTTGGGAGCGTCCATTATTTGACACCCTGCACCATATTACTCTGTTTTTAATCCAACTTGTGAGGTTGCTTCTGTAATATCTCTGACTCCAGACAACCAGATACATAGTGGTACATTCAACCAGGCACATTCAAAAGCAAGTTCACACTTACAGGTCCAGCAAATCTTTATACTGAACTTATAACTCGCCACAGTTGTTCATGGTACAGGGCAGTAATGGCCACCCCAAAAAATTGAAATACTTGTGATGGTGCCTACATGAGGAAAATTAAAACCAGGTCTAAATTATTCACCTCTGAAATGTATATTCCTATCAATGTGCAGCTCTCTTTTTTCAACCTATTTGCCTAGGGTGATGAATGCATGCACCTACAGATGTGTATTCAATATACAGATCATAACAACCTTCAGCCCCAAGACCAAATCATCTGGCCTTGTGGTCTGGCTTCTGGCCAGGTGGAATTGATTTGCATGAAATGTATGTGGTGGCTGTATCAGGGTTTTCAAGTGATTTCTTGATGTCATTTTTTCAGCTGGTGAGCAGAACTCATTTAAGAACATTGACTCAAAATGCAGATGCCAGTCAAAGACATCTTGTTGCTGTGGCTGCAAGAACAGCAGCTCTGACAGCAGGACCAGCAACCATGTTCTTGTGCTCCTAGCTGCAAAATCAGGGATTTGTGTGTGCAATCCGTGTTACTGTGACCCAACCCGCAATGAATGCGGTGTGTCATGCAACCCCATTGTGGAATCAGATCAGGACCAATCTAATGCAGATACTGATGAGGAGAAGATAGTGACAGAGGAAGCAATTTTTAAAAGGAAAGACATTACTGGTTCTTGTCAACAACCTGCAAGGCTCACCATAGCCACCCAAGAGGAGCAGGTGCTATATTCAGAAACAGTAGAAGATCATCAAGTGCTGCTGGCCCCAAGTACTGCTGCTCCAAGCTCATCAATCCAAGAGCCAAATGGATTTCCTGTCAGTTCTCATACAGTTCCATTAAGCTTGATGAAACAGAGTCCCATCTCATATGAATTCCCACCTCCCAAAGTGGAACCAAGGTCCTTGTCAATCTTTGAAGAGGAGTTGCCATCTGCTCCATCATTTGGTCGCCTCCATCGATGCCTCTCACCAAAGACTGCAGATAGTTCTGGAACTTGGAGCCCCCTGCACACACCTCAGCCCCCTTCACAGGCACCAATAATTGAGCCAGTCCCTAACTCCTGGCCCTCTGATGTCATTCGGCTGGGCTTTGAGATCCTCAACCAAGAGGATAATGCAACACTTATCTGAGCACAGCTCTCTTTTTTTTGACAAGTTTTTTCCATCCAAGTTTTGGAATTCATTTTGTATTGCTCTCTGATATTCAAGGTGCAGGTCTTCCCCATAATGTGAAAGCAGGTGTTTTTTTTGCCACCGTCACTCTGTATAGATAACCTTTATGTGCAGCATTTCAAGTTCTATCTGTCATATTCCTCTGATAGCAGTTCAATTGCCATTCTAGGTTTCCATGCTGTTTGTTAAGTTCATGTTTCTTCCAAAGCTAATTTACTCTCTGCTTTAAATACCTCATCTCTCTTTACCATAGATTGTTTATTAACTTTTAATGCTGTCTACTTCTTTTTTTTTAATTGTTTCCCAAGTAGATCTGTAGTACAGATTTAGCCCACTCTTGTTCAAATTGATAAATGTGACAAAGTCCTTCATTTTTCTACCCATGTAATGAACAGTTACTGTCTTCCTGTTCAAGCTGTTTTATGATTTCTTACCATCTTTCATTTTCCTGCTGTAAAGCATTCTTTAATGCTTAGATTGATACTTCTGTATGAGGAAGAACCTTTGAGATTCATTCCTACACATTATCAACAATGAATGCTCTCCTGAATAATTTAAGCAGAGCCATGAAAGAACTGCTTATACTTCTGGATCAACTCTCTTATAAATTATTTCTCAGAGAGTAGTGAATAGGAATGAATTTCTTAGGAAATTTTCACCACTAAGTTATGATTGAACCTCTAAAGATTGCAATAAATTCACTTTGAACCAGCAAAATGCAAGGCAAATGTATGGGAGGAAAATTTAAAAGGTTTTTTTATGCTTTTCAATATTAATGGGATATACAGTGAAACCTCGCTAATCCTGATCCTTCTGGTCTGGACTTTGGTTAATACAGACTAGGATTCGAGCATGACTCAGAATAAAATGTGTTTTGTGTGAAAAGCAGTAACCTTTGTGCAATACATTGTACTCAAAACCCCTTTTAAATTAATAAAGTTTAGATTTTATATTTCTTATTGATCATTTACAAAGTTAATATAAAGTACTGTTTTGGATTTTATAGGTTTATTATGTTTCATTTACATGTGTAATGCAATTTTTTCTATATATTTTGGATTGGCCATACTTTAGGCTAATCTGGACTCCCACTCCCCCCAATTAGTCCGGACTAGTGAGGTTTTACTGTATTTTGATTCCTGAATCCTCATGTTTATGCCAGGTGCTCATTACTACATATTTTTTATTGGCCTAAAACCTGAACTAGTTATAGAATATCAACTTGACAATCATGTAACCATTAAAGCAGAGGTATTGAAGTTTTTTGAACATGTTAGCTGTATGGACAGTGACTTTTTACTCAGGGATCATTCATCTACACCTTCACATGAAATTAAGAAATATGACCAGAGGAAAGCAACTAAACTATCTTTGCTTTAAACAATGTTAATGGAACCACAAAGTTAGGGTTTCTAATTTGGGAATGTTTGTATCTCACTGCAGGTCAGATGAATTCCTTTTTACTAGCCAGATTCAGCCCAAAGGTGGTAGCTTGATCACTCATGATTTAGAGCAGGCATGCCCAAAGTGCAGCCTGCAGGCCACATGTAGCACACAAAGTGCCTCAGTGAACATTCACTTTGGGCACTCCTGATTTAGAGGATGATCGCCCAAATAGTAGCTGTCACTTAAAAGTGAACTTTTTTCTAATTGCTGTTGCCCAAATTGCTTCCCTTCATCTCTTTGGCACACCTTTGACTTGACCAAAAGTCCAATGGCTTTTCCACCTCATTTTACTTTAGTTTGTTAGAAGGCAGCTGCAATCCTGTGCTGTATGATATCATTCCCTTCTTTCACACCCTCCAGCAAAATGATGTTGACATGGGCATGGTTATGGATTATTCATATACAAGATTTAGGTATGTCTTGGGCATTAAGGAAGGTGAATTTCATGAGCAAATATATTTCTGTCTGGGTGGTTGCCATCATTTACATTTTTACATAGATAAAAATGTAAGAGGATTCTGTAAATGGCTATTTGATTGTTTAGTTGATATTTTAGTTGTAACATGTCTTTAAGGTAATTGGTACATATATTAAGAAAGCAGTTGGATAGATCTGGGCAATATTGATGCACAAAGAGTTAAAGGAAATATTAAATCATGCACTGTTGAAAATGTATGGGAAAAAAATTATAGAGAACTCAATCCTAAATATTGTATATTGACCAGAAGGCATTTGCTTATCCATTTTTTATTGTAGATTTTGGAAAGAGAAAATATGGATAACTTATGAATTGCATTGATATTGAAACTAAGCAAGGGGAAACTCTGATAGACTTCAGAAAGTGGATTGAAGAAAAGATGAAAAAGAGAAATGAGTGAGATAGATAAGTTAAAAATGATGAATTTTTTTATTTCAATGGCCAGCGTCAAGTAAAAATGTTGACACTTTGTGGAATGGTGTACTCTTAAGTTTTGCTATTTAGGCATATACCAGGTATGACGACCCCCCCCCCCTGGATAAGGCATCTCAAGGTAGTAAAGAACTATTGGGAATGTCCTAGCTCCAATATAGTTGCTCTCTGCTTAACTACTGTAAAGAGTATGGCAAAAAAAATTAGACCCCAAACTTTAGTCTTCATGACTGCACTTTCTGGAGTCATTCACATGAAACTTGCACTGTGCATAGGCTGATGTTTGAATATGATTTGAAATTTTTCATTTTAATTCTTTATGCCAAAGCAAGGCCATGAGCAATTATTCAAATTAAGTTTGATATTAAAAATGGACATTGGCCTGTGCTGGGAGATGTAGGGAGGAAAGTCCTATGTTCTGTGGGCACATATGTGGGGTGCAGTGAATATGCATGGGCTGGAGTCTCCTGTCCATTTGCAATTTTCAAATTGAATACCCAATTCCTCCACTATCTTTGTTCATAGCTTTGCTGTTATGGAACAAATGAGCATGAAATTTCAACACGGTGTTTAAAACACATCAGTCTATGCATAGTACAAGTTACATGTGAATGACTCCAGAAAGTGCAGTCATGAAGACTAAAGTTTGGGGTCTAATTTTTTTTGCCATACTCTTTACAGTAGTTAAGCAGAGAGCAACTATATTGGAGCTAGGACATTCCCAAAAATATTACCCCAGTGAGGATACTGGTACCCTTAGTCGGTGAGAGGATGAATTCCTTTGTCCTAAGAGGTTCTCAATCATATTCTTTTGCTTTTGTAGGCCATTAAATTTGGGAGTAACCTCAAATGCTGGCATGTTGCATTGCCAGAAAGCTGACTGTTGTACAACCAAAGACAATGCTATTAATTTTTCTATCAAAAAAAGTTTTCGTTCTGGAGCAATTGAGTTTAGCCTTATTGAGATTTTATTATGTGATGCTTGGTGCTAGCAAGCTAAGGCAGTAGCAATCGCTAGATGTTTTTTTGGTAGAGGAGTTGTGCAGGTAGATAAGGGAGCAATGATGATGGCCAAACAATTTCAAGGGGATGATAGATATGTTCCAGAATATCAATCCTTGAAGGCATGGATTGAGTTCTTTACTACCTTGAGATGCCTTATCCAGGGGGTTTCAGCCAGAGGAGAACAAGAAAATCTCCATATTCAAGGAGGTGGAGGGGGTTGATTCCCCCGTGTGTTTTGCCATTGCAGTCAGGCATGCCTTCCAGTTTGAATCCAAATCCATCTCTCCAAAGATATTTTGCTATTGATATCTGATAAAGCCTGGGGTTTTGTTGTGATAAAATATTTTTCATTGTGTCATTTATCAGTCCCTGTGGGAGTGAGTTAGTCTATTGAGCTGAAAGGGGAAGTTAAAGAGCTTATCAGCAGTCATATACTGGGCATTATTATTTGTCACAATTTCTATTCATTTGTTGAATCCAAGGGATAGCTTGCAAGAGCATCCTGTGAAGCATTTTAATGCCCTGCTCATGGAAGGCCTTTAATATAAGGGAAAACACTTCAGAGGAAGTACTTTGTTCATGGCATAAATGATATGTGATGGAGCTGCCAAACATGTTGAGATGTTTATTTTGAAACTAGTACATGATTCTGGAATATCTTATCCATGAAAATCATGTCAGGTACTTTGTGTCTGTTCCATGGGTTCTTTGTTTTCTTTTGTGGTAGTATTGGTGACATGGCGTGCTCTAGAAGTTTTTTTTGGCTGTTTCACTCTGTTTTGTTATTGGTTGACAACATTGACTGCTGAAAGACAGGACTTGAACAGCATCTCCCTCTGTTCTTGCTTGTAGGTCTTTTGCATGGTTTGAAACTCATTGGAGCCATTCAACTTTCTGACACTGCTGCAACATAGTTGACTGAAGTTCAACTGAGAACCTCAAAGTAGTGCCTTCACTTTTGTTCATGATTCCAGTTGTCTTGTGGAGTAGAGTTTCAGTACATTTTCATCTGGTAATAGGAGTATACTTTGGATTGATTCCTTGGTGAACAACAACAAGGAATTTGGCCTTTACAGGAAGAATATAATGGTCATCTGGTAAAGTCACAAATGAAAGAAATCAAGTTTTCAAGTTCAAGCAGAGCCAGATGAAACATTACATCTAAGATGCAAATCTCTCTTTTTTTAAAAAAGAAATTGAGCATATTCCTGTCAAAAAAATCTAGTCCTCTTGCTTAACACTTGGCCATATAATTGTCTGATTTGGAGTCTGGCATGCATACATGTGGGTCAAGTCCCCTGCTTCCTTATGCGCCTCTTTTTCAAGGCTCAGGTTTCAACTTTTTTGAAGAGACCCCTTATAGAAGAGGAATCCACATAGTTTCACAGATTTGTATGATTCTGTCTTCCAAAGAAATGTCTTCTGTTAATGGTGCTATCTAATGATTCATATGATGATGTTTTATTTCCAGATGAATTTCTTGTCCCTGAGGTTATTTGATATTCATGGATTTCCTTTGGTGTCCTGGTAAGCTTTACTGAAACTTGGCTGTTGTTGCATTTAACAAGTCTTGGTTCTGTGAAGACAACTGTATGGT